GTTTTAAATGGTTTTTTTTTCTTTTTGACTTGGTGTAGAACAATAATAAAAACACCATTTTTTCATCGTTTTTTTTGCAAAAGTATTCATAAAGAAATGCTAAAACAGATTTTAGCTAAAATACACTGTTCTTGTCAGGGCTCAATTTACTGTATCGCGTTGGAAATCTGGTTCCTTCAGATACCGCAGCACTTACATTTTTTTCTAAAAATTTGTTGTTACTTACTGCAGCTTCTGAAGCCTGTGATGTGCTGATGCTTACGTCGAGAATGCAGAAGTAGATCCATGTATTATTGGCAAAATCCAAAGTGCCAACGAAAACATCATCTTTTTTACACATTCCAGTCACTAAATTTAACGCACTAGTTACAGTTCATTCCTCAATAGTGGATACATTCCTACAGAAAAATATGTAAAGTAAGAAAACAAGCACAAAAATCAACATTATTTATAATGTAGCTTAATAAATTACTAAATTCTAAAACAAGAAAACAGAAATTCAATCTAGTATTAAAAATTTACTGATCTGTTAGTCAGTGCAATAAGAAAAAACGTTGTTGCGTATTAATTGTATTATTTGTTTGAGTGGGAATAAGAACATAATAAAGCAACTTACAACTATTATGTCGATTATTTTCTTTTAACGGCTTCTCCTGAAAACTACCGACTACTCTGAAAACAGTTTTTACTTTCATTCTCTTTTGGTTTTTTGAAACCACTAATCGATTTGATTCGTTACCAAAGGACTTTCAAAAATAAAACTTAGACAACAACAGGAGCAGGAGATATCGTTGAGAGGTCCGGATCACCGCTCTGGTTTACAGGTTCGGCTCTTCTGATTCTTTCAATGATAATTTCTCTTGAATTCGAGAATTTTGTGAAGTAACCTAAACTTAATGAGAGTGTTACCAAGAGAATTTGCTGGTGTTTTGATGATAATAAAAATGTTACAAAATATACAAATTTAAAACACCAGTGTTATGTTCAGCGCAAGTTTTCAGCATTTTTTT